AAATGGAAAAGGTTAACACTTTCTTAGTCTTTTCTGCATTTTCAATTTTCAATGTTTCAGTAAAATATAGATTTTGTTTTGTTGTACAAACTGATGATATTTCTTGTCAGTTAAAATAAAAACTAAAAAAGAAATTTCGTTTAGTACATAAAATGAAGAGTTCAAATGCAAAAACCTCTAAATTTTCCTCTAAAATGAACATTTTTGTCAGGCTCCTGTGTGTATGTTTATTAATAGCACTTTTATGGCTAAGAATAAGTCATTTCCCTGGTCTTTAAGGTGAAATATCTCAACATAAAGAAATAAGGGTGAGACAGTTTTTCATTTTTGATTGAAATTGCAGACGGCACTTAGAGGTTTTTGCATCTGAACTCTTCAAATACTAATTTTCAAAATAATAAAACATTTTTGTTATTTTGAAAATTAGTGTTTGAAGAGTACTTTCTTCCTTTTTTAGATAACAATCCCAATTTTTGAACCCTTGTACTACAGCTTAGCTCTTTGCAAGCCATTTGTTTAAGTAGCTTTCCTAACACAGCTCAATGGAATCATTCTGAAATCTAAAATGACAAATGGGTCATGCTGTACCCTTGTGGACTGCAAGAACACACGCGATCAAAGGCCACAAGATCATGTTATATATATGGTGTTTGGGAAAAGGCCACACAATGAAATCCACACACAATCTCTGGCAGCTAACACACGCCTGCAGTGATTTTGAGCAATGAAGAGGTAATCTAGTCAGGGCAAGAACAATTAAACCACAAAGGCCCTCTCAATCTTAGCCAAGGTTATGCTTCTTAATAACTAATGAGGTGTCTTTATCTCTGGGGCTCCACCACATAATACATCTGTTTACTGCAAGGCCGGGAGAGACACTGATGTAGTTTAAAGTCATGAATTAATGCAAGTCACTCAATCTAAATGTACGGCAATTTTAAGTGGACTCTAATGTTGGTAGAGGACATTCAGCATCCAGCACAAGACAAAGCTTCAATGAAATAGCCAGCACAATCAAGTCAACAGCAAGAAGAACATTACAATTAAAGTCAGCATGAAACAGAAGTTAAGGTTGAACTTTCTTTCCCCTATGGTGATCAGTGGTGGAAAGAGTACTGAAAAAATCATACTCAAGTACCACTTCTTGCCTAGAAATGTAGTGCAATAGAGTAAAAGTATCTGTTGTAAATATGACTCAAAGTATTAGTAAAAAGTAGACTTTTCAAAAGTACTCAAGATTAGTGAGTATTGAGTATTACGCCTTTGAAAGCTGATGCATTTACATGTAATTTGTGCAAATGTTTGTAAACGTAACTTTCTGTAGTGTATTTAGTTCTTGCCCAGCAGGTACAAAACGTCAAAAGACATTGTATTAGGTTAGATTTAGGTTGTGATGTCAGGTGAACTGAATTCAATGTCTACCCAGTGACTAAGGACAATGTTATTTTGATGTCCAATAATAACGTCAAATAACGTTGATATTTGGTCGATATTAGGTTGTGTTGGAAAGTGACTAAAATCCAACATCGAGCCAACATCTTAAACCAACTTCATATTGACGTCAAATACCGACATTTATTCGTCAGGAATGGCAACCAAAATCCAAGGTCTGATAAAAGTCATAGTGGTAACATCCACACAACGCCAAGCTGTAACATCAATAGACGTTGAGGTAGTTCAAAATGATGTGATTTACCTTCTATGTGCGATTGATTGAACAGGAATCACAGAACTGATTTTTCTAATTAAAGTAGTGGAGTAAAAGTACAGATCCAGCACTAAAAATGCACTCAAGTGGAAGTAAGAGTACACATTTATAAAACTAGTCAAAGTCAAAAAGTCAAAGTCAGCTTTATTGTCAATTCAGCCACATGTACAGGACATAAAGAGAATCGAAATTATGTTACTCTCAGACCCTAGATGCCTAACATAATGTTAATATAAAAAGTAGAGCTTTAAGAAAAAGAAAATTTACAATATATACAATTTTACATAAAATGTGGTCTAAAAAATATACATAAAATCTAGTCTAAAAATATACAGAAGGAATAAAAACATTTAAACAATACAATGACATTAAGACATTAAGACACAAAGACATTAAGTAGTTAATTAATTATAAATTATTAATTATTATAGTTAGTTAATTAATTAACTACTTAGTAAATTACAATTCCTGAGTTTTGTAATTAGTTACTTTACATCACTGATAGCAATGTACATCCACTTAAAATTTGATTCATCATATTGTCTACCCTCTGGTGCAGAATGTTTTCAGATACCCAATGATGACAAGAACAAAGAGTTACATTTTGCAGATGGAATTGTATAATATTTGATATTTGATCAAATTACTGCCTCCAGCCTAGAAAAGTCAAAAACGAGACACACGGTGACTACGTTTACATGGACATCAGTAATCAAATTATTTGCCATAATCTGAGTAAGACAAAAATATGATTAAGAGGTTTACATGAGTTGCTTTTTGAATTTTCCTTTTAGGATCCCATTTTCCATGTTATAGCACATAGTTTGATTAACGTCATTGCATCACCACGCTATCCACAGTTCCTCGGAAGTTTCAAGTAATTTCGGGTGTTTTATTTTTAATTTGTCAACTTTAACTGCAGATTGGCACGTTCACTTTTATTCAGGAGAATTTCATGCATGCCCCCAGGACAAATTGAGATATTGGATGCGAGGAACTGCTAGAAGAGTGTTGTTTTAATGGAATTTTATACCGCATGCCGTATAGGGAAAAAAAAAAAAAAACTCAGCATTTTGTGATGTATGTCTGTGGTCCTTCTGTGACTTGGTAGGTGCAGAGAATAGAGTCAAACAGCTATGTGTGTAAACACACTGTCCTTTTGCAAAATGCAACATAAATCCTACAAAATGGTAATAGTTTTAATTGAGGTGTTTACATGTCTGTACTGCGCTTCTTAATGCAACTAAAATCGGCATACTCCACATGTCTTAATTAAACTAGTTAGTTTGATTATGATCTTAATTGGATTAAATTGATAAAAAGTTGCTGTTTATATGGTAGACTCTTAATCAGTGTATTGTCTTAATTCCATTAAAATCGGATTATTGATGTCCATGTAAACGTACTCACCGATAGCCTGTCCGAATGGTATTCAGCGTAAACAGAAGTGATGAAAACTGTTTCAAGGGGGGAGGGAAGGTTATGGTATTTAATGAAAGATTATGAGAACAAAATAGTTTTCTATACACTATTAAAGTGCACAGATACACATAACAAGCACTACTACAGTATATACATTTAAAAATTAAAGTGAAACACTTTAAGAACCCAGTCAATATGAACTGCATCCAGACCACTCTCAACCTGATAGCAACATAACAATGGATGGTTGCTTTGACATCAACACCAGAATCAGCAAGGCCAACCAAGTCTTTGCCATGTTCAAGCCCATCTGAAGAGCACCAGGCCTCATCATCCAAACAAAGATCAGGATATTCAGGAGCAAAGTTCTCAGTGTGTTACTGTATGATGCCAAGTGCTGGAAAACAACCTTAGCCATAGAACACAAGCTGGACGTGTTTCAAAGCAAGTGCCTGAGGAGGATTCTCAAAACCTTCTGGCCGAACATGATTTCCAACAACAAACTTCACAGAAGGACAGAAACAGCTCCAATGTACAAGACAAGTCTGCCACATGCCATCCATTCTTTGCCCAGAATCACTCTATGATGAACCCCTTGGGGAAAATGAACCGCAGGCCTCCAAAGGAGACTTGGCACAGGATGTTTAAGTGAGACCTGAAAATCAAAGGTCTAAATCTTGAATTGACCCCCAAGACTGCAACAGATCAAGACAAGAAGGTCTCTTGTCATCGCCTGAAGTACCAGATGGCACAAAGGGAATTAAGGAAGAAGAATGTTTGCAAAGCATCTGTTTTGTCTGGTTGAGTAAATTTTGTCTAAATGTCTTGGTCTACATGACCCCTAGTTTGAAATGTAGACACAAGGGTACATGACATAAAAAAAAAATGTAATGTATTTATAAATGTTTAGTAACGCATAATAGTCAACTTATTAGTTATCCATTTGCCTGCATAATTTGTTTACTTAATAACCATGTAATCCAGGTTACTGACAAGGCCAACCAAGTCTTTGCCATGTTCAAGCCCATCTGAAGAGCACCAGGCCTCATCATCCAAACAAAGATCAGGATATTCAGGAGCAAAGTTCTCAGTGTGTTACTGTATGATGCCACGCATAATAGTCAACTTATTAGTTATCCATTTGCCTGCATAATTTGTTTAAATAATATCCATGTAATCCAGGTTACTGACAAGGCCAACCAAGTCTTTGCCATGTTCAAGCCCATCTGAAGAGCACCAGGCCTCATGTAATCCAGGTTACTGACAAATTAAAAGTCTTTCTGCGTACTTCTGCATATAACCAACGCTAAGTGTTTGTACAGAAAAAAATAAATAAATAAATAAAAATGTATTGTATTGGATTGTATTGTTTGGATAACAACAATGTCATTCTGAATGTCAAAATTAACTAACATACCTGCACTACCTGCACAAGAATGCTGGAAAACTAAAATAATGTATGTTTTGCTAATAAAACACAAACTGTGCGCGTTGACCTTAAATATTTAATGAATAATGATTCCCAGCTATTAAAAAGTCAGTACAACCTATATTGTAACTATAAATATTACAATCCAAATATTTTGTAAAGGGTCACAAACACCTTTTTTTTTTATTTAGCGTAAGCATTGCCTTGAGTAATTCGGTAATTCCTCTGAGGCTGCCTGCCTAAAAAGGACATTTTCCATGACTACTATATGCTAATTTATAAATAACTAGATAAGATATTCAACCAACTGAAAGTTACAAACTCTGTGGGTAAAACTGTACCTTATGCATATGTGTTCAGCACATTTGTTCAGCACATAATAATGACTGGGTAATAATGGGCTACGCTACTTACGACTTTTATTTTGAAACGTCTAAATCACGGAAGCTGTGCACGTGCTTTGCTGTGTTGTCAAACAAACTCAAAGTGCGAACTGTAGTGCAGTAAAGCGCCAAATCATTTAAACAGGTAAATAATCTATTGCATGCATATTGTTGATACCTAAAATGATTGGATTTAGTTTTATTTTTAATATTTATCACGTAATTAAACAACTCTAGGTTATTCGTGTATTAAATGACTGGAATGTGCATCACTATCAGAACTCTCTGAACACGGATTTTAGTTTTAATCTTTAAACCTTTTTCAAATGAAAATACCTCTGTCTGTCGGTGTACAGGTGTGATGGTGGTAAATGTCTCGTTTGCTGCGGCTGGGTTTTTAGGAGCATATCATCTCGGTGTAGCAAAGGCGTTACTGATGCATGGAGATAAACTGCTGTCCTCTTTAAAAGCCTGCGCTGGAGCTTCAGCTGGTGCTTTAGTGGCCGCTATGATGATCACTGCTCCTGATAAACTGCAGGTAAAGCCATTCACCCCACAGCATGTAAAAACTGTACTGTGCTCAACCAAAGTAGTTAGAATGTTGAAGTTAAGCCTCACTCACAGTAGAAGAGGTGAGACGTGGTTAAAAGCTAAAAATCTACATGAATGTAGTTTGCATTTTGCTTTTTAAGTGTAACATTTAAGATTATCATACAGTATGGTGATTTATGGGTTAGTTCTATAGTTTTAGGAAACATAATTAAAAATGTGGTACTTAACCAAATTTGTTACATACCTAAACATTGGCTGTGATAACAACACATTGTAACAATGTCTAAAGTCCCACCACTTTGATAATATTAATAGTTAGATATCTTTAGCCTCTTTGCATGTGTCATTAATAAAACATATTAAAATTACTTTAAACATCCATATAGTTCAGCTGAATAAGCTTAGATATTAGATATTAACTTTATTTATTTTAATTGAAGATTAGATATTAACTTTATTTATTTTAATTAAAGATAAGTCACATTAGCAAGTTAGCAACACTGTAAATTTACATTTAATGATTTTTTTATCAGCTTTGAAATTGAAATCAAGTTTTATGATAATTTTCAAGATGTCTGAAACATATAATTCGAGGAATTATGAAATAATATTCTTTCACTCATTCATTTTCTTTTCGGCTTAGTCCCTTTATTAATCCGGGGTCGCCACAGCAGAATAAACAGACCATTTATTCAGCACGTTTTTATTCAGCGGATGCCCTTCCAACCGCAACCCATCTCTGGGAAACATTCATCCACACTCAGTCATTCACACACACACTCATACACTACGGACAATTTAGCCTATCCAATTCACCTGTACCGCATGTCTTTGGACTAAGGGGGAAACCGGAGCACCCGGAGGAAACCCACGCGAACGCAGGAAGAACATGCAAACTCCACACAGAAACATCGAGGCTGGAACCAGCAACCCAGCAACCTTCTTGCTGTGAGGCGACAGCACTACCTACTGTGCCACTGCGTCACCTATGAAATAATAACATCTATTATTATCAATAATAATACATTTAAAACATAATAACACGGGAAATTAAATTTCATTTGGGCCCCTTTGTGCCAGTTCTTACCCAAAGTGATTACCCCAATCTTTTACAGAAAAAAATAAAATAAATAAATATTTATACTGCAAATCTAAGAATGTCCACAAACTCCTTATTAACATAAAAATTAAATGTAATACAAAATAAAATGGCATGGCTCAGTATTGTCCACAGACACAGTGTAACAGATGTAGATATTCAGATGAAATGGCAAAATTAAAAATAGAATAGTTGTTTATCAAAATGGTGTGGGTGAGATGTTTTGCTGGCAGTGCATGGTGCAGTACCTATCTTATAACATTCTTAAACACATACACTTATACAACTGCCATTATGGGGACTTTTGTAGATGTAAGGATTTTTGATACTGTAAAAACTGCTAATTCTGCCACCCTACCACAAACCTCACAGGAAACAATCATCTGCATTGTTACATTTTCTAAATACTTAATTATGTGTGTAATTTATGAGCTATTTTTTTCATGGACACCAAAAAATTTACCCAAAAGGTCAAAAATCACTTGTTTTGCTGTAGTTGTGGGAAGTTTTGCTTAGATCCCCTCAAAGTAAGTGATAGAAGGTAAGCACAAACATGCACGCACACTTTACCCCCTTAAATCACTTTTTTTGTTGTTGTTGTTGCATCATTTAATCTTTGAACTATTATTTAATCAACAAAAGCCACTATAAATAAAAATATTTATTTATGTTAATACAATACTGTATTATTATATGTAGGCAGATTTTCAATCTGATTATTTTTCATGTTTCAGGGCTGAGAAGGTACTGTAGTGTTTGTGAAAACAGACTGATTGTTTAGACTTGAAATAGATTGATTTGTTCTCTGTCAAGCCAGCAGCTATTGAAAATACATATTTCTTACTGTTGCATCACCAAGGCTCTGAGACGAGACTGACTGAGCTCTTTACCTATATGTTCTGACTTTGTGTTTTCACACAGCATTGTAAGGAATTCACCTACAGGTTTGCCAGTAATGTAAGAAGTCAGAGGTTTGGAGCGGTGACACCTGGATATGACTTCATGCTTGAACTGAGGTAAATGTGGCTCTGAGACATAATTTTTTGATCGAACGAAAAACTATTAGGTAGGTTGTTGAAATTAACCCCAAGGGGCTTTTTGCAACCTTTTTTTTCCTCTCATGCAGAGTTTCAATCAGAACGGCTGTCTTGGTAAGATATCCTACTCAGCTGTTTTCAGGCAACTTGTATTCACCTCATTTCAAATGGAATTCAATTTCAAAATAGTTTTAGAATAGTAGTGGGACTGGATCAAAATTAGTACCCTGGACTTGAAGAAACTGTAAATGACAAAAAAGTGCTACTGTTTGGGATGCTTTTATGTTTTCCCTGTTTCCACTGCTGCGAGTTTATAGTAAAAGCAATTGTAACATAATTAAAGCTCTTCATGGGTATCCATTTTTTAGATTGCCTTCATGGAGGCTTTTTGAGTTAAACATGGTTTTTAAGAGGCATATTGTATTTATAGTGAAAGCAGATTAATCCAAGGGCCCTTATTGTTGAAGACAGTATGTGTTCATGTGTCTTGTTGTTATTATTACTGAAACTGATTTACTTTTGCAGATGTATTATATAAACCTCATAGTAAATATTTTATTTAAGAGTTAATTTTAATAAATAGGCACAAATGTCCTGGTATTTATTAATTATCTGCCTTATTGAATAATCTAATATATACAGTTATTAGCACCCGTTTATTTTCTCCCCCAATTTCTGTTTAACGAAAAGCAGATTTTTTCAACACATTTCGAAACATAACAGTTTTAATAACTTATTTTTAATAAATGATTTATTATATCTTTGCCATAATGACAGTAAATAATATTTTACTAGATATTTTTTTTTCTATACAACTTAGTGACATTTAAAGGCTTAACTAGGTAAATTGGCTTAATTAAGCAGGATAGGGTAATTAGGCAAGTTATTGTATAATTATGGTTTATTCTGTAGACTATCAAAAAAAAAGCCTAGGACTGACTTCACAGAATGGGAGGAGGAATCGGATACACTAATTCTGGATGAAGTACAGAAGTATTCCTCTACAAACTTCCGTATAGACGGATCAGCAGAGGAAAATCTACTTCCTTTTGGGAGAAATAAGGCCAGTCATTCCCACGACTACAGCACCTTTCCAAGAGAATTCTATGCATTTCAGGAACAAGTGCTGCGAGCGAGCGCTCCTTCAGTGTAGCAGGGCGCATTATAGTGGCTATGCAGGTGCTCCCGTCTGAATCCTGACACTGTAGATGCTATTTTATTCCTGCATTGTGCTAAGAAAAAATCTAACTAGACCTAAGGTCAGGCATATTAAACCAATTAGCCTATGTTATTTAGGCTACACATATGTTCAATATAAACTTTTGAGTTCGGTCAGCTGAGCCTATTCTATTCTAGACATGTTGGCCTCGCTTTTACGTTCCGAGGCTAAGGTTATTTGCCAGAATTTCTTTGTCGCAACTGGCGTAGTATTTCGTTATGCTTCAAGTTTGAGGGGAATGGGGATGATCCTAAGTCCATGGGTTATTGGGGCACTTGTCATACATGCACTTAGCCTGGTCAGACTTTATGTTCGCTCAAAGAGGGATGGCATATCTATTTTTCTAATTTAATTTCTAATTGTGGGGGTGACTGAGCCTACAAGGCTTAGGCACGATATGACGTTTTTATTAAACATTTTTTCAACTGTTTGCCAAAGCATGCGACTATAGCCTATGCCTACATTAAGATATTTATGTTAATATTTTTTTACTGCCTGTTGTTTCTTTTGGCATATAAAATAGGTATTGTCTGATAGAGATATAAATAAAGGTTCATCTTGTCGCAGAATTGGTGTTGTTTCCGATTTCTACAAGCTCAATAACATCCACTGCAAAAAATAAATAAATAAAAAAATATTCGAAAAACTGTGCCCATTAATTAGATGTGCAAGGCAATCAGGTACGTTTTTGGGGTTGCTATGGACAACTACAAATGTAAACATTATTAGGCTATAATGTAAATGACTTATTATTCTATCTATTTACTAAAAAATAAAGTGAAATAGGCATTTAGTAGTAGACTAAATAGCAGCATGTTGAAATGATGTGTCAATGCGTTTTCTATTAGGCTACAATAAAAAAAAGTTGTATAGTACAGTGCGTTTAATTTAGGCTATTTATTTACTTTTGTCCCTGTGCGCCGATTGGAGACGGAGTTCACTGCTGATATTCTGAGAGCTCGGGTGCTTCTCATTTCTTATTTGTGCATCCTCGTTTCCTTTCCTTGCTTTCTTTCCTCGTGTTTCCACCCCACCGGGATACGAGGGAAGGACGCAAGGAAAAGACTCAAGGACAGAGGAATCGAATCAAGTGAAAAGACACGTCCTCGTATCTTTATCGTCACTTCAAAGCGTCGTCAATTAATGACTTGCACGTTTGGATTAACTGCATGTCTACATTAAAGTCATTCTCTATTCTATAATGATCAATAAAGAAACATTCATTTAATAATGAAAAGGAATAAGCCATTCAAATAAAGAGCCCAATCAGCAGATGGCGGGCGGGTGCGGTTTTAAAAATCGGTCAAAAATGTTACTGCGGATGGATGGCGGACGGATGATGAATTTTGTCATGCGGTTGCGGATGAAATAATAGCCCAACCGCGCATCTCTAGTCTGTGTCAAGCCCGTTGAGGGGTGTCAGGGGTGGAGTGAGCGACGGATCTGAGTAGGGGCGAGAGGGGTGTGCAATGTATTTAACGACCGGTTTGCAAGAAATTATCATTCATTTGCGGGCATTTGGGAGTCTCTGTGCACTTGCGGGATACTCCTAGTCTTAGCAACTGGATGAATGTAAAGGAGGATTAAGCAAAATTGTTTCTACTCTATAATTAATGTTCTCAACTCACAGCAATAAAACTTTACAATGAGTGCAACAGTTTGTATTCTATAGTTTATTATTATAATTTTTCATTTTCCATATCTGCAATTCCTGTATTTTGGTATTTTTTTGCAGTCCACTTAGAATCCAACATGGAAATCAATGTTTTCTTTATTGGCATTGATTGTTTTGAAATTTAAATGTCATTAACAAGCCTGTGTTTTAATTTCTGTAATAAATATGGCTGTCAAGCCAGGATCTTGATGGTTTATTGTGGGTATGTTGTTTACATGAAGAAATCTGTGTTACAAGTTAAACAAAATTCTATTAAACAATTATAGCTTGAATTTAAATATTTTTACATAATTTTTTTTTACATAAATTTATTTACATAAATTTTACATTTAAATAGGCAAAATTACAAGTTTCAGTATTTTAAATGCGAATAATCGCGATAAATTTTTTTAAAAAGGTGCGATTAATTAGTTACTTTTTTTTATCGATTGACAGCACTAATATATATATATATATATATATATATATATATATATATATATATATATATATAAATCAATCAAAGAGGGGGCTAATAATTCTGACTTCCAACTGTATACATGCTTGTTTTTTATTTACAAATTTGAGTTAAAAGAACTGACTCACTCACCAATATTCTATTACTAATGATTAATTGAATAGAAATATAAATTAAATATTGATTTTGATCTCGTATGTAAGGAGTAAACCCTTATACACACGTTTATGACTCTGAAGTTTGTTTTGCAACTGGTTATACAATTATAAATCTGTTGCTACTGTACAAGTGACTTTCAAACAAGACAAATGAACAAGTTTAGACATATATTTATAAAACAGCATTTCACTGTAAACAATTCTGGAGCTGAAATATACATTGAACAATTGTTTTAGCAAGAAGATAAATAGCATCAGCTGTGTTTGTATGAAATGAGAGAAAGAATTTTCTCAGTACAAGAGCCATGTGTTATTCAGCGCTCCTATTGAAGATGGTTGTAATCGGCGAATACCAAAACTTAGAACAGTGTGAAACCTCAGAAGTATTAAAGGCTTGGATTATAAATATATATTTTAGGGTACATTTTCATCATTTTCACCTAAGTTTTTTGAAAAGCTCCAACAGTATTCTGATTGATTCATTCCCTACACAATGTTCTCTGCTCCCTAAGTTAACTTTACTTGACAAAATGCATTTATTTTGAGCACAGACAATGATCTGTTTTTAGTATATTTGTTGAATTGACATTTTGAGAATATGAGTTTGATATATGATGGCATAATATAAAATAATGGCAATTTTATACACCAAATAAATGTAATACACATGACCATATTTAATTGAATATTTCTGACCATGTTAATACATCCATGTGTATTTCTTGAAATATAAATAACTAATTATATTTACTTTAAAGACCTACACTGAGTAATAAATGTTAAGATTCATTCATTTCTTTTCTTTTCGGCTTAGTTTCTTATTTATCTGGGGTCGCCACAACTTATCCAGCATATGTTTAACGCAGCAGATGACTTCCAGCTGCAACCCATCACTGGGAAACATCCATACACACTCATTCACACACATGCACTAGGGCCAGTTCAGCTTACCCAATACACCTATATTTTTGGACTTAAGGGGGAATCCGGAGCACCCGGAGAAAATAAATGTTAAGATGTTTAATATTAAAAAAAGAACATAATCATGAGAGTTGAAATATAACTGTGGAATATATTTTACTCCCATTATAGCTGTGAAGTTTTATACATTTCCTATGAAGTGATTTATCAGTGTAGCTTTATAACTTAAAACAATCATAGTACATTTCTACCCCCATTATTGGTTTGGAACCTCATTTAAGGCTGTCCACACAACTCCTTATTATCTTAGTTTTGCTCGTCTCTCTACACTGAGAATTTGTTTTGAAACCAAGCTTTGTGAATACTCTTCCAATAATTGATCAATTTGACAGTGGGTGGGCACATATCATGCGCTTTGTTGTAAAGTGTGGACAGAGATTTTTTCTAAAAACAGGTTAAAAACATCAGTATGGATAAATTTTTAGCCTAAAACAATATTTACAGTTATTAGAAAAAAATTGCACAACCCTTTTTTAGCTGCTCTTCAACTGCTCTTTAGCTGTTGTTGTGGAAAGCATTTTATTGATTATTAGTACAGCGACATAAGCAACACAAGCAGATTTAATTTTTCTCTTGTTCTCTTTCTTTTTTTTTTTTGCATGAGCAATTTTTGGAGTGGACATAACCCTTTAAAAAAAAACACTGTTTCCAAATGTATCCAGATTAAAAAGACCAGTTTGCACCTCCAGCCTCTTTTAGTTTTAATTTTGTCTTTTAATGATGCAGGTGATCTAGCCATGTCCAGTTGTCATTCACTCTTGTCGTTTGAAAGCTTTTGGTATGTTCAGTTTGGAATTAACTGCATGTGAGGAAAAGAGAAATTACCATTTAAAAGGATGTTTTATGAATTGGGTACCACAGACCGTTTTAATCAGGTCAAACAATTAATAATTAACATACTAGGGGTGAGATGAAATGAGGGTGCCAAACACAGGAAAAAAAGAAAAAAAGGCCACTGTGGGAAACATTTTGTCAATAAGTTAAATTATTGTTCTGTTCAGTGAGTCGCAAGCTCTGTTGATAATGTCCGTCTTTATTGCAGTCATTTCCGTAAGAGCATTTCAGATGGAAAGGGCTGAGTAGATTATATTGTATTCTTGTTTCATTGTTCTCCATGAGTATTATACGTTATTCAATAGATTAACTTGAAAGTACTCTAAAAATAGGGAATATGTGTTTATGAAGCTTTAAATTGGTATGAGGAAACACTTTGGGCCTACTCACACTATGACATTCGTACCGTGCCCAGGCCCGTTTCCCGGATCGTTTGAGAAGTGTGAGTGCGCCGAATCGGGCTCAAGCACGGTTCACTTGGCCGGCCCTGGCCCGGTTGGAAGATGTGTGCCTGAGTGCGGTTCACTTGGGCTTTGGCTGAAAGCGAGACGTGACTTTTAAGGGACTGTTTCAGATAGATTTATTAATCATTCTTACTGTTCAGTGAACGCAAACTGCAGTCGTTTATTAAAGATGCAAACTCCTCACTTTACGACAGCTGCGCGCCTTCAGCAGACCTCCTCATTCCTGCAGCACGAGAGCTTTATGATTGTTTATGAGCGCCAAAAGTGGTGAATCTGTACGGTAAAATATCTGACTGCGTGTCCCTGCATCCCTAAGGACTGTTTGTCAAAATTTACCCCTAAGAAATGGGACACCACTACAGCACCTGCACACGTCATCATATGTCATTGTGAGCTCTTGCTTCATATGAGATCAGATGATCGCGGCTGCTGTAGTTATTTCAGTTGCATTATTTTTTGGTATTTATCTTCAGGAAATCACTGAAGGCAACGATATCATGTTATCAAAGCGATCTAATGTGGCAATAAGATTGTAACTGTACATTTACACAATGACCATTTCCATCAATGTAAACAACATTAACATTATGCCAGACACCATATAAAGCTCATTCTCAGCCACTAGACTTTTCTGATAGGGGATTCGAGTGTCATTAAGTGTCAGAATGTTGTTAGGCTGCTATACAGGAGTTATTTTTCGGGATTATAGATAGCGAAATTTAGCGGCTTTTATTTTAGCGGGGTTTTTTTAAAAGCATGATGGTAAAACACGAACGTGGTTTTGAATGTTATAAAACATACTGTATGTTTTTTTGTCGTAAAAATTTGTAATGATGACAATAAAATACTCATTTGTGCATCTCCTTACTTCGGGGTGCAACAATGCAGCCGTTGTGGCTAGTGTATTCTGGGAAATTTTCTTACCCCTTGGTTTCGAGTGTGGTCCTCAAAAATCTCTCTTTTGAGGGCTATCTCGCCCTTCGTCTTAGCCCTACGCTTTCAAGATAAAGACAATTGGGACACCCCTTCATGTAAACGTGCAAAATGAGGTGTAAGGATAGGAGAAGGGCTGGGTAGAATTGGGATTGGGCCTAAATCTCCATATTTCGTTTTCAGGTGTCTTTATTAAGATAATAAACATAGATCACAGAAAATAAAAACAAAAAAAGTTTAAAAATACAGTTCAAAATTACTTTATCAAACAAAGTTATGTGTATAATATGATCTTAGTTGGCACCAAATACAGCAAGAAATCTTTTGGGGAAACTGTCCTAATGTTTTTTTTTTTTTTTTTTTTATTTAATAAAGTGCAGCCCTCTTTCAATACAATCCATAGATATAGGCTGTCATATCTTTCCTTTTCAGTCCAGGTGATCCTGTCTTGTCTTTTATAATAGTTAGGTCTGGACTCTGTGGAGGCCATTTCATTAAAAAAATACTGCACTGTATAAGCACTGATTGGGATCATACCGATAAATAAACAATGGCAAAATGGTTATAAACCTGTCTGGACCCTTCTACGTTCGCAATCCCATGAATTCACAATTAGGTAAAAATATAATAATCCAATGCCCACCTGTAAAACTTTCTGAACAGTACTATACGTGAAAGCTTTTTTCTTTCCATATTTAGCCTCACACAGCTGTGGAGCTTTTCAGAAAGAACAGTTCTTGGCTGCAGTAGAATGAGGTTTGAATGGTCTGAAGACTGTGCCAATGCTGAAATGTGTCACCTCCTCAATGCTACTTTTGAAATCGCAGATACTGCTGGCATGATATTAAATGTTAGAAGTTTTTTTCTCTTTCCGTTCATTGAAGGAAATAATATCTGTGATGTGCACAAACCTCTGAGGGCTTCTGATAATCTTGACACACTGCTTGGAGCGGTTAGCAGACTTCATCCATTTTGATGAAATATCCTTGGATTGGAACATTGAGTGGATTTTTTTCCTCTTCCCTTATTTCTCCTGCGTTACCTCAGTGGTTCGGCCAACAGATTGTGTAATTACGATCGGATGTTGAGGGGAAAATGTTTTTCACTCAGGTTGTTAATTATGCAAACACAACAAATGAGCATCTGTCCTTTGGTTTTCCTCTAGGGAGGGTATCGAACAGATTCTCCCACCCAGTGCGCACCAGTTAGCCAATGAACGCCTCCACGTTTCAATAACACACTCAAAAACGCACAAGAACAGCATGGTGTCCAGCTTCACCTCCAGGGAAGATCTCATTAAGGTATTCAAGCCTGAGGTCAATAGACAATGATTTATCTTCCAGCCACTCGAGTGATGCTCACAACCCAAAGGGAACTCTCCTATTCAATTAGACACATCATAAGTGCCGTCACTGGACAGGGTTAGTGCTGTGGAAAATTGCTACTGAGTTCATTAATTCATTCCCATCTGAAATAAAGAACAAATTGCACTGTTGCTTCAGTAGTTCATCTAACATAATGATATAAACAGTCTTTTTGGATTCCTTTTTGTTTTGTTTAAAAGTCAGTGATGTGGCACATTTTGCATCTATTATTATAATTAAAAACACATTGGGTGCATTAAGTCAGAAATGTCAGGGCAATACAGTGAAGCTTTTTTCTGAACTATAGTTATCTATTAGATACAAAAATGGGTAACACTTTTTTAAAATAATGATCCATTAGTTCATCTGTTTACTAACATGAACTAAGTAAAAACAATATTATACAGCTTTTATTTATCGAAGCTCAACATTTCCTAATGCATTATTAAAATCCAAAGTTGTGCTTGTTACCATTAGTTAATTTACAGTGAGCTAACAAGAACTAACAATAGCTATTTTTTATTGTTTGTTTGTATTGTAGATAAATAAACTAACATTAATGGACCACTATTTTAAAGTCTTGTTACATTACTGAAAATTACTGAAATAAAAAGAAAAATTCTGAACAAAATTACAATCAAAGGTATGTGTTTAATGCAACCTCACTTGGCACCAAATAGCTAAAAATCTTTTGGGGAAACTGTCCAGATATTTTCTGAAATAATGTGCTCATTGCAGTCCTCTTTTGATACAATTCATAGTTTATAAGAATTAGGCTGTCATTTTGTTTTTTTTTTGTCCAGGTGATCCCGTCTTGTCTTTATAACATTTAGGTCTGGATTCTGTGGAGGCCATTTCATTAACAATTATGGAACTGTATTAGCACTGTGTTAGGGATCATACCGATAAATAAAATTATTACCAATAATGTCTATTCTAGCATTTATGACATAATGGACTTAATGCACCCAATGTATTTTTAAGTTTAAGTCAGAAATGTCAGGGCAATACAATTATATTTCTGTATTATTATAGTTATTTTATAGATACAAAAATTAGTTTCACTTTAAAATAATGACCCATTAGTTCATGCGTTTACTTAGCTCAACATTTGCTAATGCATTATTAAAATCTAAAGTTGTGCTTGTTATCATCAGTTGATTCACGGTGTGCTAACAAGAACTACTATAACAACAGGCTTTTTTATTGTTTTTATTTTTTGTTCTTGTTGGTACATAATTAAACCAACATTAACTGATGGACCATTATTATAAGTGTTGTTAGCAAAACAAGAGAAAAAGGTTCAACAAATCTTTTTTTTTGGTTTAATTAAATAATTAAGTAATTGTACCTGTTTTTCAACAAGGTTAGCTCTAGTTGTAAAATATAAATATACAATTTTTGGGGTGCCGATACTTTCATCATTCATGAAATCAATTAATATTTTAAAGATAGAAAAAAGTAAGTTTTTGTTTATATTAATATTATAGTTTATGTTTATATATTAATATTAAAATTAATAAATATTTTTACACATTTGATCAATGTATAAGAAATAAAATACATTTTTACTAGTATTAGTTCACAAGTTCCAGCATGTGAAACCAAACATGTTTTCTTGTCTGTTCTCCTTTTAATCTTCTAGTCCTCTGTGTGTCCATTCTACTGACATATTATGACTGTATTGTTTTTAAAGGTGCTCTTGGCCAGCTGTTTCGTGCCTGTCTATGCTGGAGTGAAGCCAGTGGAGTTCCAAGGGCAGGTAATGAAGTCTCTCATGGCCCAGCACTGTCTACGGCTCTGCTGAGAGCTGCTGTTTAGTTTTGGGCTCTTTAGATTTATTTAGATGAATGAGCAAACCAGCTTTCTGGTTCTGCTTGTGCCCTCCACTGACAGAGGTCTGATAAAACTATTAGCATCCAAATGAAGTGGTATTTTCAGCCAAAGCAATTGTAAAGTTGCCATCTGCTTGTTATGTTACACATCACAGTTCTGGGTGCAAATGCTCTATCAGACACAAACAACAAATAATGACTAAACTGTACACAGCTATTGAGATTTCTGAATTCAAATGAATTTTGTCAGCCTTATTCAATTTTGATTTTACAATTTGTGCACAGCACAATAAGGGGTGGTCCAGCGTGTATTTTTAAGGCTTGGTTGTGTTTATAGGATGCAAAGCAATGTGTGCTCATGCTTCACTTGTAGAAATGTTATTTTATCATATTTTTTCATATATCTGTAAATTTATACTGCTATTCAGCTAACAGGAAAGCAACTGTCACATTCCCTAGTTCCTCTAAAAGGCCTGCCCTCAAGAGGCTCTGATTGGTCAGCTAACATAATGTGTTGTGATTCACAGAACGGCTCCATGTCACCTAGAAGCATCTCTGTTATAACATAACAGCACCTCTGGCAACACCCCTTTGCTGCACGGTGTGAATGCGCCTAATCTGAAGGGTTTATGACATCACAAACTCGGATGGTTTTTTTTTTGTAGTCCCCAAACTTTGTTCACTGTAGGCTTTACTAAGCTAACTTGGTAAAAGCCGATGTCTCACTTTGCATTAATCTTTGCGCGTGTTACATTTAGAGATGTTGTTTATGTTCACTCAGCTACATTACACATCAACTAAAGTTTCAAATATTATATCGGAGTCGACAACCCGTTTAATGACTGTTGTTGTATTGCGCTGTATGAATATTAGAATGGTTTCAGAAGGATCACGTGACACTATTTATGTTAACAATGTCTTTGTCTTTAGAAATGGATAGATGGGGGCTTCACAGACAGCCTTCCTATTCTTCCTGTGGGACGCACAATCACAGTGTCACCTTTTAGTGGCCCTCAGGATATTTCCCCAGAGCACAAGGGCAAGAAAAATCTTCACCTCAGACTAGCAAACATGAGCATTGTGGTAAGTTTTTAGCATAATAATATAAACTTTTACTGCATAGTTGTACAGTGCTACTTAAAAGTGGCCAATCTATGTTTTTTATGATATTAGTTTTTATGTAATATAGCTTGTTGTGAATAGAAAAGGTCCAAAACTGTTGTTTTGGAACTAAAACATAATGGTTTCCTCTCATGATTAGACATTACAATATTCATAATGATGAATGTTAATATAGGTTAACATGTGTAAAAGCCACACTAACCATTATTCTATCGCAAATGATATTTAGACATGCAATCCATGCAATAATCGATCAGTCTCTATCAACATTGATCTTTCTAACTACTAAGAGCTGTCTGGGCTTTTTATGCCTTTTTACAGTGCACCTCCCTATCTTAATGTGTTCAATACTTTTTCCCTGTGTCATTTCATTTTATTACACATATTTTCTAAACTAATTAGTTTAGTTTTCTTTGTATATATTGATTACATTGGTTGTTACTGACATCAGCAGCACTTTGAGAAATATGTTTTCTGACAAAAATGGTGTTTAATACTTATTTTAGTAAACAGAATACATAACTCAGGTGTTTTTTTTGTTTTGTTTTTTTTTGTAATGCATTACATCGTACACTGACCATAACCTGACAAGTTTTAACAACTGTTTTCCACCCTCAGTTCTCAAAGGAAAACATCATAAGGCTGAACCAAGCTCTGTTTCCTCCTCCATTACCCAGACTTGAGGCACTGGAGCAAGAGGGATACCAAGACGCTCTTCGGTTTTTGAAGAAAGAAAAATGGTTGCAATAACTGATTTACACATTTGTAGCACTTTCAGCACCTCGATTGTCAGAAATGTGGCATATTGACACCATTTAGAGACTATTTTCCTCAGCCGTTCCTTTGGGGTGTGCAGTATTTTTCAGTGTAATAACCATACTTGGACTTGGGCTTTTTCGTTTTTAGAATGAAAGCAGACGCCATACAGTACATTATGTATTTCAGGAGGCTGCATGATCAGTCATTTTCTGGTACTTTAACTCTAAAATGCGCTCCGTCAAGAGCCAAAACTGCTCTCAGAACACACCGTGTTCTTTAAGAATGACTTAATGAAGTGTTTACATATTTCTGAAACCCCTTCTGTTGGAATTTGTCCATAATTCCCTTTAAGCCGTAATCAATCCCAAGACCAACAACGCACCCATTTGCAGCACATATCAATGCAGGGTTTCTGTGGGTCCTTGAGGACAAGCATGGAGAACAAGCCTTTGAAGTAAAGCACAGGAGAAGCTGTTTGAACTGCACCAGTCTCTTCACCTCTCAGAACATCCGCTTTACTCACTTGATTCCCCGAGAGCGTTCTGATCATTTTTTCTGCCTGTGAGAATAACGTCTCCCTGGGGAAGGTTTGAGGATTAGCAAAGGCTTGTGGGTATTTGTGATCTGGCGGTGTAGAGAGAAACAGTGAGAGCTGACGCACACAGCAGAAGCTCATATAGTTGGTGTATTATGGAATAATAGTCGATTTTTGCAATCAAGTAGCAATTTTATTGACTTTTATTGATCTAGAGCAGTTCGAGTTGTCAAGAGATAAAAAGATGATAAGAACTGCTTATGTGAAAGTACATCAGTTGTAATTGGTCTTCATTAAAAGCAAGAGGAATGTTATAAGCTGAGCACCATTAGCTTGATAAAGATGGATTGTTCAGCGTTTAACTCAGCGGCAGCACAGGACATTCACATCAGTCTTCAAATGTACGACACACGTTCGCATGTGCTCAGTTGATCTATGAACCGTAGGAAAATTATATGGTTATCACTGCATCAGTTTTCTCATATATCATGTGTGTGTGAGTGTTTTTTACTTTAGTCCTCCAGTGAAAGTGTTCTCATTTTTCAAATATTTAGCCCTTTAAAAGGGTACTTATTTATTTTGGAGTGGCTACAAAAACAACCAATAGCTTGACCAAGTAACCTAAACTGCACTTTAAGATGAATGTTAGCATCTTGTACAATAACTTTGCATCATGGCTAAGACAAAATGAATGAGTTATTAGAAAATAGTTATTAAAAATGTGTTAGGAAAAAAAATATTGGCTGAAAGTCATCTATTCATTTTGTCAAACATGAACCTTGACTAACATAGGGTTCTAATTAACAGGAGGTGTTTATTGATTGATTTGCTGTGCATTTCAAATGAAAAGCAAAAATTACAAAACTGTTTATGCT